AGAGAGTGACAGAGGAGAGAGAGAGAGAGAGAGAGAGAGAGAGAATTTTTAGTATTTTTTTATTTTTTTTTTTAGTTCTCGGCGGACATAACATCTTTGTTGGTATGTGGTGCTGAGGATCGAACCCGGGCCGCACGCATGCCAGGCGAGCGCGCTACCGCTGAGCCACATCTCCAGCCCAGATCCTTTTATCTTAAAGTGCTGAATTTGAATTGTGAGTTTGTTATAAAAATCAAATGAGACCACACATGTAAAGAACTTAGTATTACCTTTGGCGTAGTAAAAACCCAGTAAATATAGGAAGGAGGGAGGGATAGGGGACAGAAGGAAACAAAGGTGCCAAATTGAAAGAACCCTGAAGTCCTTAGGGTAATATTCTAAGAACCTTCAGACCCTATCTGGTCATACTGTTCTAAATACCCTTAGCACCCTATACTTTCCCTTCATAACCTTTCATCATGGTTGTGTTGTAATTTTATGTTTGTATCTTATTTTGATTAATAGCTGCCTTCCTGATTGACCTGGTCAGGAATGTGGCAACATTGGCAAAATCAGGGAAAGAAGATATTAACCCTCCTTAATCTACTGCATTACCCACATTCAACATACAGAGAATTTTGGCTCAGTGAAATATTTCTTTTTGGTTGTGAAACCCTTTACCAGACCACTAGTTCTTATATTTTTATTGGACCATTTTGTGAAATCATTGAATAATGTGTTTCTGGCTTAATATCTGGAAAGCCTTGCAGAGAAGCTCTTTGTGTTTGAAATCTTCCTTGCTCCTATGTCTGTCAGGCACCTATTTAACTGAGGTAGTCTTCCCTCCCTCAGACTTTTGCAGAAATGTGTTGCAGGTTGTAGGAAGGCCGGGAAGCTGATGAGGGCAAGCTCCTGGCCTTTGGAGACTTCACTCCCTAGCAAGAAACAAAAGCAGTAAAAGGTACCCCTGGTAATCTGGCACTCAATCTTGAGTACTTTTTTGGTGAGGGCATTTATCAAATATGAGCCTGGGCCCCCACCCACTGCCATTTCATCTTAGCCAGGTTGCCTCTCATCCCCTAGCCCACTTTCCCTGAGGTATGTGTGTGGGGGATGTTCCCAGGGCCCATGTGACTTCCACTGGCAAGTGACGATTACAGATGCTTTACCAGTCAGTAAAGCTGCCAAAGGCTTTTGTACTGTAATAATCCTTTTCCTTTTTAAAACTCCAGGGTTTTTCTACTGTTGCCAATAGTTTTGCAAGTCAGCAATTACGGTGTGGATTATGTAATGGCTGGGTAGTAAAAATAGAAAAGACCAGGGTTTGCATCTATTTTAACCAAATCAAAACAGAGCAAAGGGAGGGGAGGAAAGGAGAAGAGGGAAAGACCAAAGGAGGAGGGGAAAAGACATGTGACAAGCGGCAGTATGATTGCATCTTGTGACTGGATAATACAGCCACAATTTGTGTGCCTTTTGCCTGCCATTTTTGACCCAAAGTCCTGCACTTCTTTCTTTGGTCTCTCCATGGGTGGGAGTGCTGCCAGCAGTTCCTTCAGAGGATACAAGATCCCCGTGGATAATCCTTAGCTCAGTCCTGTTGTGTTTACCTGCTTCTGGCAAGCACAGTGGCTCAGGGAGAGGGAGTTGAATTTGACAGCTCCCCTCAAAGTCCAGGTCTTTGTGTCTGGATTTCCAAGGTCTTTGTAGTCAGCTTATTTTCTTGTACAGTGGTGGAGCCAAGGAGTGGTTTATGGGGAGAGTCTGGCATACCAAATCCCTATCAGTCTTAGTCAAAGCCACCCTAAATAAATATGCAGTGTAATTACAAACCATGTATTCTCTGAAAACAGCTTCTAGATAGACACCCTTAATTCTTCCACTTCCCCACTCACACTTCACTCCTTTGCCCTCTGTGCCCCCGATAAAGGAATTTCAGGGCTTCCGCTCATTTGTTCTTGTGTAACTCTGCACCAATCCCCCACTCCTACCCTTAGTTAAGAGTTATATTTATATTTCTTTAGAGACTTTTGGAGCAATTTTAAGGACCCTAATGGTAAAATTTTAGGTACCAGGTGGATCTAGAGCAGGGAAGATATTTTTGGAAAGAAGACTTCTAAGGGCCTAATAGATTACATAAAAACACACTCAGGCCTCCTATGATATTACCTCCAGAGGTTACCATAGAGGGAGGTTTTGAGTTGGTCACTTGTTAATAGCCCTTGAGTCTGTATAAAGCCCAAGCAGAAAGCCCTCTACCTCTTAGGTCTCTGACGTTAGAGAGTGGTGGATACTTTGAAGAAGGCAGCTCACTAATTTCCAAAACTGAACCCAAATAAGTTCAGTAGGGTTAGAGGGGGACCCAGAAGTCCAGATGGTAAATAGACTCAGTCACAAGTAACACTAGAAAGTTGTTTCCTCACCATTCTTCATCATTACTTCTGTATACTCCTCTATATACCCATCATACTCCATTCTCAGAGCCCTCATCTGTACTGGAGTGGCAGAGTGTCAGCAGTTCAGAATAATACTGGTCCCAGCTCCAGTTAGCCTTACTTAGCCCCACCTGTCCTACCTAACCTGCTTAAAGGTCGATAGTTCTAATTCTGGATTTTAGGCATTTCATGAGATAGGTGGGAGTATCTGGGGACCTACCTTAGGGATTTTCAGTCACAGTTCCCTGAATTGGCTAATGTTCATGATGTGGTACCTCTCTCTTACCCTTGGGGATTTTTCGTTTCCTAGAGCTAGATTTCTATTCACTTTTGCCAAAGATCGACTTTGGTAAGAACCACCAAATATCTGCTATGATCCAGATTTTTATCCTCCTAACTATGTTCGTTCATGTACTTGAACAAACCTGGTTATGTGTCCTGGACTTGGGTTTGGTTGACATCATTGCAGCATCAGTTTTTCTGTATCTGGACAGGCTGGTCACTCCAAACATATCAGCGGAAGTTGGGCATCTAGGAGAATATCTGCCTTCCAATTCCCATCTTATCTCCCAGTCTTTGAGCAACGTAAGGAGTCCATGGAATTACCTGCTTTAGGAACAACTAAGGGCTGGGGGTCAATCCAAGATTAAATCTCTGTCAAGATCCACAAAGGAAGAATTCCTACCTGAATTCAACTTGTGTTGACTCCTTTCCACCCACCCCATGGATAGAACCATAAAGAGACATCAACTTGACCACAGTAATGTCAGGTACACTGGTCATCCCCTTCTTTTCCTGAAGGAGGTGACTCTTTTTGTCATTAAAATATTTAATAGTTTTCTATGGTACTCATAGTGTCTATTGCTGGAGATACTAAGTTATTCACAGATGGAATAGAATGAATAGCAAATTTAACTACATTTAACTTTTACTCATCCAACTATACTGACAAATTTGAGACACAGTATTGTTTATATATGTGAGACATTTATTTGGATTACAAACAGAACAAGATACGAAATGATGGATCATTTGGGTTAGCTCTAGTACCAGGGCTCAGAGCTAGACAACTATCACCTGTTACTGCACATCCTTTACCCCTGGGGTCCCTTTTTTGTTCGTAATATCATACTGAGAAATGAGTTTGAGGAATGGGCCAAGACAGACATAGGGTTAGGACTCAGGACTTTACCTCTTTGCTGAATTCTTCAGGCTGAAATTGCCAGGAGCCAGGAGAGGGCAGGATGTCAGGTGAGATAGCATGGCACCTGGAGCTATTCTTTTCTTTCAACAGAGGATGGGGGTAAGGAGGGGAGGCTCAGAGGGGGAAGAGGAGAATAGGGAAGAAGGAAAGCAGTGAGTGAGGAGGGAATTGTGAGAAGGGCTAAGTGGGGTGGGTAGTTTGCTACTCTTGAGGAGGTGAGCAGGGATGTCTTGGCAGCCTGGTTCAGCCTTGGAGTAACCTGACTTCAGGGAACAGACCAGTTTCTCTGCTGTACTCTCAACATCCTCTTTCTTTCCAAACAAGACTGACAAAGTCCAAGGTCCAAAGTTCCAACTCTTGTCACAGAAGACCACAGCTGAGGAACGACTTACTAGTGCTTAACTAGTGTATTTTAAGAGGAAACTCCAGGATATTACCTCTATTATGACTTTAAGTATTACTAAAACTATTGTTTATTCTCTAATTGATTTTGATAATTTTAATTCCCAAAAAAGTCTTGAGGCTATTAATGTAGAATTTTTTATAGTTTAATATCTATTGTATTTTATCTTTTTCATTCCTAGTGTCACTTATTTGGTGCTGTGGTCTTTTTTCATAATAATTTTTGTTACTCATCTGCCTCTTATGAAATCAGCTTTTGTTTTAATCATCTCTTATTTGTCTTCTAGTTCCTTAACTTTTTTTTGAGGGGGGTACCCAGCGGGCTTAACCACTGACCAATATCCCCAGCCCTTTTTATATTTTATTTTGAAAGAGGGCTCCACTAAGTTGCTCAGGACTTCACTAAGTTACTGAGGTTGGCTTTGAATTGTGATCCTCCTGCCTCAGCCTCCCGAGCCTCTGGGATTATAGGCGTGCACCACAGCTTTTATTTTTTAATCACTTAAATATTTATTCTGTAATAAAAATAATATAGAGGGTCACTTTATCTTACAAAATAAAAAGACTAATAACCCAAAAGAATGGAAAAAGGTTTTTTAAAAAAGATGTCTACATGGCTTATAAACATAATGCAAAGAATAAAGTAAA